TCAGATAGCAATATATCTTGGAACTTTGTAAAACACTTGGGTCTTTTCCAATCTAGACTTGATGGCGCCGTTGTATTGGCACGCCCACAATTGGAATCATTCCATTATCTTGCTAGATGGGGTTAAAACGACACGTGTTGGTTACCATACATTAACAGGTTATATGTTGTATATGCATTCAAAGTGTTATTTTAAATTGTTATAACCATCTGAGTCCATCTGATATAGCGCAATTTACAAAACAACTCCTGAGTGTTCAGTAAGCCCAGGTATTAATGAACTCGTCGTTGGAGGGAAGGCTCAAAGTAAAGTTTCTTAGCATTGGACACGCTGCAGTTTCGTGACAGATTTAAGTCAAACTAAAAGCTGTTTTTACATTACTGGTGCATTATGTATTAAATCCAGATTTATACTGAGGTGGGAGAGTACGTCAGGGATACACGGATGGACACGCTAGATAATACTTGCAATTCACCATGCGGACATCCCCTATGAAATAGTAATCCGAAACCACACACCCGTCAATCAAGTGGCGCTGCCAAGTCTAGATTGGGCAAAGACCAAAGTGTTTTGCAAAGTTGCAAGTCATTTTGCTAACTGACTGTCCGAATAATTCTCAGAACGGCTGTAACTATGATTAACCCAAGTGAAATATTCATTATGACTCCTTAGACACCCAGTGTGATGTTCACTGTGAATGTCAAGAACCTGAATGAAATATTCATTATGACTCCTTAGACACCCAGTGTGATGTTCACTGTGAATGTCAAGAACCCGAAAGAAATATTCATTATGACTACCTAGCACACCAGTGAAATATTCACTATGACTCCCTAGCACACCATTGAAATATTCACTATGACCATCGTTACAAAAATAATACACTAATCACAACAATCAACTAAGAAGTGTTCCATGAATTTCGACCAAGAAGATATATGTGTTGTTCCCAGGATGCCTTGCAGTGCATCTGAAGCGAAACCATCTGTATTGTCACATGGGTTGTTATGTAATAACCAATAAAAATTCCATATTATCAATCTTTATAAAGATGAGAATTGCATGTACAAAATTTCTGGTGATTTCAGCTTCAAAACTTAAACTATATGTAACTTCATTAATGCTTGTGAAGTTATTTTTCTTACCGCATGTTTCAAAGCTTGATCCAAATCTTGTACAAGATCATCAGCTGACTCAAGACCAATGGATAATCTAATAAAATTATTGGTAATTCCCAGAGATTGTCTTTCTTCTTCAGATAAACCAGTATGAGTTAATGTTGAACTGTGAATGTTAGAACAACTCAGCTGATCTATCATGCATACATAGTAGTTCAGCCAAAAAAATTATGAATTGTGAAAAAAAAAATCCATTTTTAGTGAAAACCAATTGCAAACAAACATTTCCAATGAGTGCCACACTGAGATTCGACCTTGGGACACATTTAGTTCACACTATACTTATAAGAGTACATGTAAATTCCATGTTAATAAAGCGATGGTTTTCATCGATAACCAGACTCAAACTTTGTTGACATTTTCTGCTGGAGAATTATATGACTTGTTTTTGGATCTAAAATAGTGTGCCATAATCTTATCACATGCACTCTTCTTCTGATATGAGTAACCATGGTGATAATGAGGGAGTTAGAAACACTTCCCAAGACACAGCGTGATTTTGAAAAACAGCAAAAACTTACGGATGCTCAGCAAGACTATGGACTGATCCAAGACTGGCTGCATTCTTGAATAGCTGTAATTTGTTTAAGAATATTTCAGCTTCATCAAATCCTCCTTTCAACCAGAAACAAACCATGCCACTGAAACCTTTCATCTGTTTCTTTGCTAGTTCATATTGTGGATGATTTGGCAATCCTGAAAATAAACAATAGTGTTGTCAGCTTTCTAGTTCCAATCACAGA